GCCTCTTTATATTCTATAAAAAAGAGTGTGTTTTTCTTTCTCATTATTTTGTAGAGTTTATAGCCTCATTCTGACTATTTGTTACACTTGGGTTTCTAATTAATTATTTAATGCATATTTCTCTAATTGAGAACATCAACTTCATAACTATATCATTTGAATTTTTATTTGAGATAAGTTATTTAACTCAATTTTTTACTTGTCCTCACTTAATTTAAGAAAAACTTCAAAATAGGATCTAAAGTGTAAGATGAAAATTAGCATAATTTTATTATATGCGGTATATGTTCTCTCTTTTTATAACAGTACTTCTCAAATATTTAGATTCAGGGTATTTTTATATTCTTAAAAATTATCAAGAACCCCGAAGAGCTGGCTTTTGTTTATTGGGTTATATCTATTGCTGTTTATCATATTAGAAATTAAAACTTTGAACACTTAAAAATATTTATATAGGCTGGGCGTGGTGGCTCAAGCCTGTAATCCTAGCACTTTGGGAGGCCAAGGTGGGTGGATCACAAGGTCAAGAGATGGAGACCATCCTGATCAACATGGTGAAACCCTGTCTCTACTAAAAATACAAAAAATTAGCTGGGCATGGTGGCACGTGCCTGTAATCCCAGCTACTCAGGAGGCTGAGGCAGGAGAATTGCCTGAACCCAGGAGGCGGAGGTTGCGGTGAGCCAAGATCGCACCATTGCACTCCAGCCTGGGTAACAAGAGCGAAACTCTGTCTCAAAAAAAAAAAAATTATTCATTTAGAAATAATAGTAGTGAATTTATTATCTATGAAAATAAGTGATGTATTTTTATGAAAAATAATAAAACTTTTCAAAATAGAAATAAATTAGCCAGAAGACTAGCATTGCTTTACATGTTTACACATCTTTTAAATACCAGTAGTAGGCAGCTGGGCTCTCCTATCTGCTTCTGCATTCAATCTGTTGTGACATCACAGACCATTTAGCCTCTGGAAAATTCCACGGTATATTCATGAAAGAATGAGAGAAAAAAATGGAAAATAATACATTATGCTGAGAATAGTTTTACCTTGGTGACATCTGAAAGGGTCTTACAAATCCTAGGGGGTCCCTAAACCCCACTTTGAGAATTACTGTTCTAGGATAATTGACAATTTTTAGACATCAGTATTTTACCTGGATTTAGTGATGCTTCCAGTCCCTTTACAGCAAGGCTTGACTGATACTGATCTCCAGTTGCTGTAGTGCATCATCACATACTTTGTCCCACACAGTGTCAGTAAAAATGGGGCAGCGCGCTGTATAGGAACAAACGACTCCCAAATCTCAATGGGTCACCAGGCCTCTGCTCAGAGGACCCTCATCCTGGACTCTGTCTCTGGCTGAGGAGCAGCTACCCCATCTGAAATGACAGTCACTGTGGTAGAGGAACAGAGAGCATGCCTAACCAGGTGCTGGCGCTGAGCTCTTCTGCCAGAGTGATACGCATTGCTCCAAGGGAGATATAATCTTACCTTGGCCCAGAAGAAAAGAACATTGAAAAATGTATGACCAACACAGAGGGTAAATAAACAACATATTTTTTGAATCCTTGTATATCTAAGTATTGATTGTGCCCTCATACATGAATAATTGAACAGGACTTACATTTTTCGATTTTAATTTTAATTATTTTTGCCCCATTCTCAAGAACTAGATGGGCATACATTTTTCAGTAGTTTCCTTTTGCTTCTAGGTTTATAGGCTTGCATAAGTATTTTAGACATTTAGGGTTGCAAATTTACTTGTTTTTCCCTTTAGGGTTTTTCCCCATATATGCATATTCTGGGAAATTCTTCCCCCTTTATGTTATAACAATTTTGGTTCAGTTTTTTAAAATTTCACAATCATTTTTAATTTCCAAGGTCTCTGTCTTATTTTCTGATTGTTTCTTTTCTGCATGGCATTTTTGGTATAATATATTCTTTTTCTATATTACCATATATAAAAATACATATATATATATATTTTGAGATGGAGTCTCGCTCTGTCACCCAGGCTGGAGTGGAGTGGTGCTCCAAAATAATATATTATTATGAGAATAGTTTTACCCTGCTGACACCACTTACTGCAACCTCCACCTCCCGGGTTCAAGTGATTCTCCTGCCTCAGCCTCCTGAGTAGCTGGGATTGCAGGCGTGTGCCACCATGCCCAGCTAATTTTTGTATTTTTACAAAAAATGGGGTTTCACCATGTTGATCAGGCTGGTCTCAAACTCCTGACCTCCTGATCTGCCCACCTTTGCCTCCCAAAGTGCTGGGACTACAGGTGTGAGCCACCATACCCAGCAGATAATATTTGTTTTTCAGAAATTCTTTTTTATTCCCTGAAACATCTCTATTTCTGCTAGGGTAATTTTTTACTTTTGCTTATCTTGGTTTTACTCCTTGATGTTGTAGGTTTCCACAAATGCTTGTGGTCTGTTGTAGTCTGTTCATGCTTACCAGCAAGTTGCTGAAAAGCAAACCTGGAACTCCATTTAATGGGATGGACTTGCAAACTTGTGGGCTTCACTGAGGGAATACCGAATGCCTGAAGGTGAAAGCCTTTTCTCTGAGTCATCTATATTTTTCTTAAGAAGAAACCTCCAGGCCAGATGTGGTGGCTCACGCCTGTAATTCCAGCACTTTGGGAGGCCGAGGTGGGCGGATCACGAGGTCAGGAGTTCAAGACCAGACTGGCCCCCATGGTGAAACCCCATCTCTACTAAAAAATACAAACAAACAAACAAACAAACAACAACAACAAAATTAGCTGGGCATGGTGGCTTGTGCCTGTAATCCCAGCTACTTGGGAGGCTAAGGTAGGAGAATTGCTGGAACTGGGATCTGGGAGGTGGAGGGTGCAGTGAGCCGATATCACGCCACTGCATACCTGCCTGGGCTACACAGAGAGACTCCATCCTAAAAAGAAAAGAAAAGAAAAGAAAGAAGAAAAGAAAAGAAAAGAAACCTCCAGCCTTCTGCCTGAGTTTGGGTGTTCTGTGTTGTAGAGCAAAGTGTTTTTAATTTTGCCTTTTGAACAACCTCTCGATTTTCATCTCTGCATTTCCTTCTCAACTACCACTGCATCTCTCTGAGGCTGCAGGACACGCTGGATCCTTTTCTGACCTCAGGACGCTTCCTCCACCTGTGATAGTGATGAGCACCCCTCTCACCACTTTTTCTCTTTCATACTTAGGTTTAAATTTCTCATCTAATTTCTTTCTCTTTGTCATTGTGACTTTAATTCCTTTACCATCATTTTAGGGGATACTGTAGTGAGAGAGGAGAAAAACCGTTGTCATTAATCAACCATTTTAAACCAGAAGTCATTTTCTTTTTTAAAAGAATTGAATGGATAAATGATGCATGTTTGAGGAATGGGAAATCTTACGATTCTCTATTCTATCCTGATGCCTGTTTGAGGAATGAGAAGTCCCAGTGACCCTTTTATGGTGGGATTAAAAAAAAATCCTGTAAGTCTTCATACCATTTAGAAATATAGATACAATTGTTAAGGCCTATTAGCAAGGGGAATGATGTAGCAGATAAGAATCAGAACTACAGACCAGGCACAGTAGCTTATGCCTGTAATCCCAGGACTTTGTGAGGACAAGGTGGGCGAATCATGAGGTTAGGAGTTCGAGACCAGCCTGGCCAATATGGTGAAACCCTGTCTCTACTAAAAAAATACAAAAATTAGCTGGGTGTGGTAGCACATACCTGTAGTCCCAGCTACTCAGGAGGCTGAGGCAGAAGCATTGCTTGAACCCAGGAGGTGGAGGTTGCAGAGAGCCAAGAATCATGCCACTGCACTCACTATGGGTGATAGAAAGAAACTCTGTTTCAAAAAAAAAAAAAAAAAAAGAATTAGAACTACAAACTTTTGTGAGTTTAAAAATTAATTTCCCAGGCATAGCCTTAAAGTCTGAAATCCAGAGGTCTCCATCTTTGGGCAAGTTTCGACAGGTCAATGTATCCTAGTTTTACATATTCACACAAGTTTCTGTGTTGGACCAGAGAAAGAATGATTTTCTTGTGACTATTCTTAATCAAACCTTACCAGATGAGAGTCTTTGAACCAATTTTATGATGCAGACTGCCACCCTCCCTTTGCAGTTACAGATGGAGGAGGTACATCTCCTTTACGTCTCCTGAGACTTCCTCTCTTTGTTGTTAACTAAGAAGACTTGCAGTTACAGATCGAGGAGGTACATCTCCTTTACGTCTCCTGAGACTTCCTCTCTTTGTTGTTAACTAAGAAGACTTGCAGTTCAGTGTTAGGTTCTGTGATATCTCAGCCGGCTTTTTCTTTCTTTCTCTGTAAGTTAAAGTTCTCCAGAGAAACAGAACCAATGGGATGTGTGTATATAGAGAAAGAGATTTGCTGTAAGGAATTGGCTCTTGCAGTTGTGAAGGCTGGCAAGGCCAAAATCTGTAGTGTGGGCCTGCTGGCTGGAGACCTAGAGAGCTGATGCTGCAGTCGCAGTCTGAATGCAGTCTGCTAGAAGATTCTTTCTTTCTTGGGACACTTGTCTTTTTGTTCTATTCAGGCTTTCGATTGGTTGGGCAAGCCCCATCTACATTATGGAAGGCAATCAACCCTACTCCAAATTCACCAATTTAAATAATCTTATCCAAAAACACCCTCCCAGTTGGCTCATAAAATTAATTACCACAGTATCATGTCAATTCCTATAAAGATTTTGACATCTTTTAATTGTATATTTTCTCTAGAGAGTTCAGGTGAAGGTCTCTTTATAATAGTTTGATTAGAACAGTGTGAGCCTTTTTACTTCTATGTACAGGCCATTCCTCTTTTCCACCTTGATTTTTTCCAAAATAAATAAATTCCATTTATTCTGGTCTCCCCACAAGAATGCCTATTTTACATATGTTGGATCTCCATTGACCACCCTTCATGTCTAAAATCTTCTAGCTGCCACAAACCTCTCGGAAACTCAGTGTCTATTTCCGCATTGTATCTTCGTTTCTTAGGATGGTCACAGAGATCCAGAATGTAGAGGGTCAGAACCTGCAGGAGCAGGTTTTTCCTGAGCCCATTTTCAGGTTCTTCAGGGAACACAAGGTGGAGATTGCAAGTGCAATAACAAGGCCATTTCCTTTCCTTATGGGCCTCCGAGACCGCTCCTTCATCTCTGAGCAGATGTATGAGGTAAGTAAGAATTTCCAAATGATGGTAAACCAGGTCCACACTCAATTATGCCAAACTTCAAGATGCAATGAACAGGCTGAAGGGCCTCCTGTGAGTGGGGACTTTCACCATCCTGTAAGTTAGGAGGTGACAGGAGAAGCAGGCATCACAGAAAACATCCGTTCTTCTGTAGTAAACGTTGGGGAGGGGCATGGTGAGGGAGGTGGGGCAGGACAGAGAATGAGAATGCTGTATGATCGTCCTAGGTAACGTATACGATCTAATGATAGCCAAAATTAAAGTATGTAAGTGAGCTCAGCAACATTTCATTATAAAACCTACTTAGTTGAAACACTTGGCCTGAGATTTTTGAAACTCACAGGGAAGGTGTGTCATGTTAGGATATATTTGGAAGTAGATGTTTGCTACTCTCTCTCCAAATCATTGTTTGATTTCTGGACATTTCTAGAGCCCCAGAATGCAAGTATATGTTAGCAGTGGATGCCCTTAGGGCTACTGAGGACAAGCCTTCTTCTTGTCTTTGTGAATTTTCTGTGCCCTTTGGCCAGGAGTCACCGTAGGGGGCTAGTTGATTGGTTTCCTGGAGCCAGTCAGGCCAGGACAATCCCAGTAATGGTTATTATCCACACAACAGAATGGCCTCTCATGACTTAAGGCCACTTGTGAAGTAACCTGGCCAGGCTCTAAAGCCCCACACAACATTTGAGTTTGAACCCACATCTCTCCTCTCAAGTGTACAACAATGTCAGAGAGTCAGGTTCAAAAAATTAGAGTGTATTTTTATGGCAGAGGACATTTAAGAAGTCATTCAAATATATGCAAAATTCTCATATTTCACAAGAGAACAGATGTTCTATCTCCAACCTACAAGTCTTTTATAACCCACAAATCTCTAACTACATAATTCTCCATTTAATATTTTTAAGCATTTTCAAGAAGCTTTTAGAAACCTGGTCCCAGTGGCAAGAGTGATGTACCGTGCACTCAGTGAACTGGAGAAGACGTTTGGCTGGTCACATCTGGAAGCGTTGTTCAGCAGGGTTAACCTGATGGCCTATCCTGATTTAAACGAAATTTACAGAAGCTTCCAAAATGGTAACTATAGTTCTCAACAGTTTTGGGGGATTCAAGCCCATTTCATTCATTGATTCATTCATTCACTCTTCATTCATATTTGACAAATGTTTGACGAGTAACTATTACATGCCAAGCCCAGGGGGAGTGTAATGAAAAACACACGTCCCATGTCCTTATGGAGTTTATTTATAATGGGAATGACAGACGTTAACCGAGTAATCCTGCAAATGGCTGCTCAGCCGGGACTTGACTTTGATGCTGTCAAACACAGGATTGAAGTCTCCATTGTTTTGAAGGAAGACATGAGCGATGTCTTTTCACAGGAAAGGAGGGAGCCCTCTTTGATACTTGCAGACATGTTCAAAGATGAAAAGATTTTCTTTGTATTAGAAAATGTATCATTCAGTGCAGTCCTGTGTCAACTTGTTTCTCCAAACTAAGAGCAGAGAAGTCACGGGGGAGCCCAGCACATAGTGGTACACTGAGGAGGAGAGGCATGGGAAAGCCCAGCACATAGTGGTACACTGAGGAGGAGAGGCACGGGAAAGCTATGAAGACTGGAAAGCGGGTTGGTCGGACGCTTTCAGAACCATGTGGTTGAATTGCAGAGTGTGGGAGAGAGGCTTTGGGAACTGATTCTGGAGAAAGAAGTTGGAGTGAATTCTGGAGGAACTGACACCCTGTGCTAAGGAATTTGAAGTTTATTTTTTTGGAAAATAAAGAGGCAATGAAGAGCACTTAAATAGGGGAAAAGTAAAATAAGTCAGTATGAAGAATGAGTTGTGTTGATTTATGAATACCATACCTTGATTCAAAAAAGAGCTATATCACTTTTATATTATGATACATCCAAGCCAGAAAAAGGTCTGGAGGAAATCAAATACTGTGCAGGCCTCCTTTAGTTTCTACAAGGGATTGGTTTCAGGAATACCCACCACACTCAGTCCTGGATGCTCAAGTTCCTTATATAAAATGGCATAGTTTTATTTGTGTATAACTTATGCACATCCACCAGTATATTTAAAATCATCTCTAGATCACAATACCTAATACAGTGTAAATGCTATGTAAAGAGTTGTTAAATTGTATTTTTCATTTAGTTATTTTTAATTTTTCTATTGTTATTTTATTTATTTATTTTTTGAGATGGAGTTTACTCTATCACCCAGGCTGGAGTACAGTGAAGTGATATTGGCTACTGCAACCTCTACCTCCTGGGTTCAACTGATTTTCCTGCCTCAGCCTCCTGGGATTATAGTTGCCTGCCATCACGCCCAGCTAATTTTTTTGTATTTTTGGTAGAGACGGGGTATTGTCATGTTGGTGAGGCTGGTCTCGAACCCCCAACCTCAGGTGATCTGCCTTCCTTGGCTTCCCCAAATGCTGGGATCATAGGCATGAGCCATTGTGCCTGGCCTGTTATTTTTATTTTTAAACTTTTTCCCATATTTTTAATTGAGGTTGGGTGAATCCTTGGATCCCCACCCCAACTGTACCTAGGCACAAATTTTGCATCAATGTTATATTTTAACCAGGGTATTCCAGGCTGTGAGGATGAAGGGAATGATGTTATTTCTACTGCCCACATCTCAGGAGCTCTTATTCTCTCTGTGGACTGTGGGGATCCCACTGGCCCCAGCAACCACATCTCATAGGTTAGTTTCTGTCACTTCCTGTGTTTGGGTGACAGGCACCCAAGGCTCACCATTGCCCACTCCCTCAGACTAGGAGTAGAAATGTGAGAAATGGGCAGAAATAGAATGAGTTGTAAAAATATTGAAAAAGAGGTAAAGAAAGAAAGAGAAAGAAAGAAAGAAAGAAAGAAAGAAAGAAAGAAAGAAGGAAAGAAACTGCCACTTCTGCTATGCAACATCCACAAAAAGTAATTTAAGTTGGATCACAAATCTAGAAATTAAGACTAAAAGTATAAAGCTTCTAGAAGAAAACATAAGACAGTGTCTTTGCAAACTGAGAGTAGGCAGTAATTCGTTATACAGGACACAAAAATATAGATCATAAAAGAAAAACTTGGTGAGATGTCACCAAATTAAAAACCACCCATCCAAAGTCAACATTAAGAAAAGGGAAAACAAGCCAAGACTGGGAGAAAATATTTGCAATACACATATCTAACAAAAGACTACTTACAATATATGAAGAACTCCTATAAATGAATAATAAAAAGACGCAGCAGCAATTCAAAAAATAGACACATGATTTGAACAGACACTTCAGGACAGGAGATACAAAATGTCCAACAAGAACATAAAGTGTATGACATTATTAATCATGAGGGAAATGCAAACTAAAGTCAGAGTGAGGTATCGTTCACTCTCCAGAATTGCAGAAATTAAAAAGACTGACAATACCAAATGCTGATGAGAATATGGAACGATTGGACCTCCCCTCCCTTGCTGGTAGGGATGTAAAACGATAAAGAACACTTTGGGAAAGTGCCTGGCAATTTCCTATAAAGTTGAACCTAACCTATGATCTTGGCAGTTTTACTACTAGGTATTTACATGAGAGGACTGAAAATATGTTCACCCAAAGATTTGTATAAGAATGTTTATGGCAGCCTTATTCATAACTAAAATCTTGAACCAACCCAAATGCTCAACAGGAGAGTAATAAACTATGACTAATTTATAGAGTATAATACTGCTCAGCAATAAAAAGGAGTGAACTGTTATCATTATGGAGCAACACGGATAAATCTCAAAAACGTTCTGTTGAGGAAAAGAAGCAAGTTGTAAGAGTACATACTACATGAACCGATTTGTGCCAGTACAGACAATACAGACAAGTACAGTGCCAGAAAGGAAGGAGCTATTGCTGGTGATAGAAACCAGAGCAGTCGTGTCTTAAGCACAAGGCAGTTTTCTGGGATGGTGGAAATGTTCTGAGTCTTGACTGGGATGTTGGTTTCATAATGATATACACTTAAGGTATGTGCATCTCAATGAAAAAGAGGGGAACAAGGCTCTGTTGGACCTCAGGGGCGGGAGATCCTGGGGCTTGAAAATCAAGTTCAGCCTGAGCACTCTGAGTCTCTCCTCTGGTCACTGTCGGAGTTTGGTAATTTTTACATTGTTTTCTTCAGCATGCTATGAACACCCACCTCGCCAAGTGAACAATGTAAGCGGGTTAGAAGATAGACCCAGATTACTACTGTGTGATAAACAAGGTGACTATCATTTAACTGATCAGTGCCCTTATTAAAGATTTGCTTCCTTGTCTTCATGGAGGCAAAGCTTGTATTTTGTCTCCTGTCTTAGCCCTCTGCTACCTCCCAGTCCTCCTCCCCTCACACAGCCGTGTACCTGCCCTTACCTGCCAACAGATGTGAGAGAACCAATGAAAAAGGAGATCTGATCTCTTGAATAGATGGAGTCTCCATTGATGGAAAATATAAAAAGAGAAAATGGGAAAGGTAGACGGAAGAGAATACATGGCAAATTACCTGGATGGATTCCATCTTCTAAAGGAACATAAAAATCCTACCCTCCCAAGTTGAGATAAAGGGATTATTTTAAATTAATTTCATAGAAGTATTAAGAGAAGCTCAGAAATAACCTAGGCCATATCAGATTCAGGTGAGAGATATTCCTTACAGAGTTGGCCAGTTGGGAGTCCCTGGCACTGTGCCTGCAGTCCAAGAGGGGAGTTTTGGGTATGGAGGGAGAGGGGAGCCTGAAGGATAGAATTGCTCAGGGAGACAAAACTGAAATCGTGTTGGCAGACAGAAGTCCAAGGTGAAATGGGAGAAACATATGAGAAACAGAAACGGAAAGGGAGGAAGTATAAGACACAGTAGAGAAAAGGTAAACTGAAAAATCTGCCAAGGCTCAGAGGTGAAAATGGAGAGAGAAGTATTTGGAAAAGAAGGATGAGAGGCAGATTAATACCAAGAAATGGGGGAAGCGGAGAGGTACAGAGGCAACTATGGAGATGAGGAGTTAAGAATAAAAGGGCGTAAAATCACTTCAGAGTGAGAAGTGGATAAAAGGGAGAGAGAAACAGACTGGGCCAGTGCAGATTTGAAGTAACAGCACTAGGTATTAGCAACTTTACAAGGGCTGGCTCCATTAACCGTGAGTTTTCAGATTGAACTGTTCACATATCAAAGTGGCACTTGCAACATAATCAGATTGCAATAGGAGTAGCAATCTCCCGGAGTAGCCCAATGATTCCCAAGCACGAATCTCCACTCTAAATTATCTTTAGAGTACATTTATTCATGGACCCAAGAACCTTTACTCATGGGTCCGACAGACATCCACACTGGAGTTTTTTCAAGAACCTTAAACTTGGTACTTTGAGAACTGAAAGCAACATCTTCGTTGCTCAAGTTAGATCTAACTCCTCCACAGCACTCTTTCTCTCAGAGATGGATCACTACTGTCCCATGGTTGTTTTTTTTTGAGACGGAGTTTCGCTCTTGTTACCCAGGTTGGAGTGCAATGGCGCGATCTTGGCTCACTGCAACCTGTGCTTCTTGGGTTCAGGCAATTCTCCTGCCTCAGCCTCCTGAGTAGCTGGGATTACAGGCATGCGCCACCATGCCCAGCTAATTTTTTTGTATTTTTAGTAGAGACGGGGTTTCACCACGTCGACCAGCATGGTCTCAATCTCTTGACATTGTGATCCACCCGCCTCGGCCTCCCAAAGTGCTGGGATTACAGGCTTAAGCTACCGCGCCCGGCCTGTCCCATGGTTTTTTAAGTTGGAAACCTAGTCATGTCATCATGGATGACTCCTCTCTTGCCCTCAAATACATGCCAGTTATGCACCCAACATAATCATTTCACCTTCAGGTTGCCTCCAGCCTGTCCATCTTTGCATCTCCAAGACCAGGTCTCTGGTCCAGATCTCCATCACTCTTATGGTTCTAAGGACAACATCCTTTGCTCATCGCCTCCCTCTAATCTTGCTTCTATCAAATGTGCTATTTGCACTTCAACTAGATGGGATATTTAAAAATGCACATTAGATTGTATCATTTTCCTACTTACCTCCTTAATACACTAAGAAGTAAATAAATGGGGTTTTAAGTAGCATCCAAAGGCATTCACAATGAGCCACTTGCCTGAAATATTACTTCAAGATAGAATAAAATTTCCCCCAATAATTTCAATTGTTAAATCTCTATTTCAAACTGAGCCTTTCCTTGTGTTTTCTCTATAATGCCTTTAGAATTGTTTTCCTGACCCACTATCTTCCATTTACCCTTCTCCAATCCAGCTAAGTCCTGTTTAGAATATATGATCAAAGGAAGGTCTTTCTTTAGAGAAAGCTGGAAAGGCACAATTGAGAGACCAAGGATGGGTGAGAGAGTGGTATCAGAGAAAGCAAGAGAAAAATCTGCAGGAGCAGAGAACAGAGAAATGCATCTAGGAAAGAGAGGCTCCAAGAAACACCAGTAGAAAAAAATAGAGGCAGAGATTGAGAAAATGTGCAGAAACAAATGGAAAGACACGAGTGAGAAAATGTGAAAGAGAACAAGGTATAAGAAAAGGAAGATTTCCCCACAATGGGTGAATTATTTTCAGCCTCTGGTGAAGGTTACTGAAGGACTTTACCCTCAGGTCAGGTTGTCTGGGGAGTAGGAACCTCCCAGTTGATCAGGCTTTCTTAGTTTTCTCATTATTTATTTTCTTGTTTTGATGCCTCCTTGACCATAAATCAAGGTATCTGAGGGATCTTATTCCTTTCTGCAGAGAACAGCAATGCCTGTCACAAAACGTGTGCTGTAGCAGTGCCTCAGGAAGCCTTGAGCTCCTCGCCGAAGTGTGGGCCAGGTAAGGAGGGGAAGACTTGCTCTCCCTGACCTGCTGGGTGTCAGGAGGTGGAATTCAGAGCTGGTGTTTCCTGCTGCATTTTAATGTGAGCACATTCCACAGTCAAAAGATCCGTTTTTTCCTGGGATCCCACAATTCTGCTAAATGTTCCTAAGTGTATGTTATGGTAGAAATATGCCAGAGAAAGATGTCTTTCATGCCTACTAACAATGAAAACTTGATCATACCTACCCACCATTTATTTTCTCTAGAGAATAAAAACTATTCCTGTTACTATTATTATTTTGTCCCTTATTATAGAAAGCCTTCAAAAGAAACATGTTCCATCAGACCAACTACTTGAAAAACTAAATGATAATTTTTGCCAATTATTTTCCATTCTGTTACTGTCTTACATAGTGATTGTTCAAAGAACTCTGGTGAACAAGGTGCCATTTTATCTCTACAGCTTATGAATTTAGATGGATAAACTTTTGCTTATTTCTATTTTATTTATTTATTTATTTTTATTTTCTTTATTTTTTTTTAACCACTAGACCACCAGGGAGCTTATTTTTATTTTAAAGCAAAATAAAGTAGAAGTAGAAACATAGAAATTTGTAAAGATCTTTTACCAGGTCAAATTAATCAAGCAAGAACATGACCCACATTCCTGCTGACTCACTGCGGTGATGGTTGTGTGAGGTTGGTAGAGGGTCATGGATAGGAGTTCACACAGGAGACCCAAGGAGGCTTGCAGGTTCCCAGGGGAGCAACAGAAAAGAAAAAGAGAGGGAATCCTGGGAGTCAAGGAGATGGACAGTGCTTCATGGTGTAGAAGCAAGAGCATGTGGTGACCAAAAACTGAGAAGCAGAAAGGAGGTAGCAGAGAGATAACAGGGGGAAAGCAGGCAGAGCAAGGCTCTGGTGGGACTTGGGAGAGGTTTTTGGAGCAATGGTGGTTTTTTTTCCAAGGAGAATCTCACCTGAGTGCTGAACACCAGAATTCAGCAGGAACGTCTTCAGGTCTGTGCTCTCATCATTGTGTCTTATTTATTTTCAGGTTTCTCTTCAGAGTCTCATGAGCAATTAGCTCTTCCAAGGGCTGATGGAGGAGGTGCTGAAAATGCACCCAGCCTGCTACCAGGTGGGGGAAGTAATTACGATTTAAATGACCAATTACCTCTTTAAATTAGTTGGCTTACCTCTATGCAAGCAACACTTCCCGTCCTTCTCTCTACACTGCCACTCCTCTAATACACTTTCATTCAGGCTGTGGTTGTTTTCCCCACATGTGTGGGAGGCAAGAAGTAAACAGAAGCTAAGTCATTTAGTGGAGGGGCTCCTGGGTAGAGAGCTTAAGGGTACAGAGTAATACAAATTACTTTGATTGGAGGCACCAAATGGTGTTGCATAAGTTGGCCCAATTTTATCTACAGGAATATGGAATCTAAATCCTACCAGGATGGGGTTTGAGAAAGGAGAGATAATTTTAAACTTACTTGCCAGGGATTGTTTAGGAAAAACGAAATAGTGTGTATAGAAGAGACAAAGTAGAAGTGACAAAGTTAAAAGAATAAATAGGGATATAATGTGGCAAAGAGGTAACAAACATCATGAAGGAAGAAAGAGACAGAAATGCAAAGAAATGGTAGAAGTCAGGGGGAAGAAGTCAAGTCAAAAAAATTCAGGAGTTGTTTTACGGTGCAGATGTAGCAATGTGTAAAGACAGGGTTAGAGGGAAAAAAAAGAGGAGAGAGGGGAAAGGTGCTAAAAGAAGTGGAGCAACTCTTGTTTGGTGCAAAGATACCTTTACTCCCAGGAAGCAGTTCTACACCTGAACATTAGAGCTCAGCATGACCACATCCAGGTAGGTGTCCAGGTCACTGTCAATTGTCTGTCATGTTTTTCTTTCGCTCTGCAGTGTGCTGTGAACCTGCTGTACAAGTAGATGAAGGAGAATCAGAAGAAATGCCCCAGTTACTGCCTTATGATGCAGAAGGTAATCAGGATTTAAATTAAAGCTTTATTTTTCTGTCAACATACAAAAACACCTACTCTTTCATTTCCCTTCCCATTCCCCCATCTATTCATGTATTCATCCATATATCCATCCATCTATTCATCCATCCATCTATCCATCCATCCATCCATATATCCATCTATCCATATATCCATATATACATCCATCCATATATTTATCTATCCATCCATCCATATATTCATCCATCCTTCCATCCATCCATCCATCCATCCATATATCCATCCATCCATCCATCCATCTATCCATCTATCCATATATCCATCCATCCATCATCCATCCATATATCCATCCATCCATCCATATATCCATCCATTCATATATCTATTCATCCATCCATATATTTATCCATCCTTCCATCCATCCATCCATATATCCATCCATCTATCCATATATCCATCTATCCATATATCCATCCATCCATCCATCCATCATCCATCCATATATCCATCCATCCATCCATCCATCCATCCATCCATATATCCATCCATATATCCATCCATCCATCCATCCATCCATCCATCCATCCATATATCCATCCATTCATATATCTATCCATCTATTCATATATTCATCCATCCATCCATCCATGCATCCATCCATCCATATATCCATCTATCCATCTATCCATCCATCCATCCATCCATCCATCCATCCATATATCCATCCATTCATATATCCATCCATCTATTCATATATTCATCCATCCATTCATATATCCATCCATCCATCCATGCATCCCCCACCACATACTGACTATGCCCAGCTTCTACCTGCTTTTCTTGAGAGACACAAGTAGCAAAAGAAGAAGCTCAGACTGGTTGGAGTTTTCCTGGACATAAGACATAAGGAAAGAGGGGGAGAAAGGAAAGTATAGATTGAAGCATTAAATGAAGTGAGATCTGAGTGATTGCCAGTTTTACCTAAATAGATGTAGAATCCAAATATTACCATGTTGGGTAATATTTGGGTAATAATACCACTTTGAGTTATAAGGAAAGAGAGATAATTTTAAACTTCTTTTCTTGAGGTTATGCCAACAGCATGGATATAGTGAGTATCCTGCAATGTAGGAAACTCAGTGAAAGACTGTTGAAATTAACTTCACAAAAGGAAGGGTCCCTGCCCCTTTGTTTGTTTTTTTAATATATATTTTATTGCACTTTAGGTTCTGGGGTACATGTGCAAAACATGCAGGATTGTTGCATAGGTACATACATGGCAATGTGGTTTGCTGCCTCCATCCCCCCATCACCTATATCTGGCATTTCTCCCCATATGATCCCTCCCCAACCTCTATCCCCTGCTGTCCCTCCCCTAGTCCTGCCCAACAAACCCCAGTGTGTGATGCTCCCCTCCCTGTGTCCATGTGTTTGCATTGTTCAACACCCACCTATGAGTGAAAACATGTGGTGTTTGTTTTTCTGTTCTACTGTCAGTGTCCTGAGAATGATGGTTTCCAGATTCATTTATGTTCCTACAAAGGGAATGAACTCATAGTTTTTTATGGCTGCATAGTATTCCATGGTGTATATGTGCCACATTTTCCCTGTCCAGTCTATCATTGATGCCATTTCCCTTTGTTAATAACAAAAGATGAGACCTTTGATGGTATGGGAGAAAAATAAGACAGAATATACAGAAAAACTGAAATTTAAATTTTTACATTTAAATTTTGAATTGAAAAATTAGGAACAGAAAGCTAACTAGAGAGAACAGATAGAGGCATGGAAATGAGCACCATGGAGGAAAGGAGATAAGCTTGATTATTAAATAAGGTACAGGATTTAAAATGTGAAGAAAATATTATGAGAGGAACAGAGAGAAGAAAAATGCTAGAAAACAGAGACAGTGGGGGAGAGACAGAAAAGTTATACACAGAGTAAAAGGTAAAGGAGAGTAAGTGAAAAGTTAGCAGAGAGTAAAAACTGCTGGAAAGGGATGGGGAAAAACATGGGACATTATAGGGATTGAGGCAAGATTCACTAGACAGAAATAACTTCTGGCCCAAGAATGGAACATGTTAGCAGTGAGTTTTAGCTTATGATGTCCCCAGCCTATCAAAATGGCACCTGTAATGTCCTCAGAGGCAGTTGACTTCCCCCCAGGCTTTCATGTCTCTCCCATCCGTACCTTAATGATTTCAAAACACATGTGTCCAGATTTATCTTCTAACTTCATTCATCTGAGTACCTGAACATGTTCATGAAGATATTTGAAAGACCTCTCCATTTGGATGTTTTTCAGGAACCTCAATACAAGACAACTCCAAGACTGCACATACCATCTTTCCTGACACCAGATCTGACCCCTCTCTCGCTGTTCCCTATCTCAGGATGAAACACTGTGACTCCATTTTTCAAGCAGAAACCAAGGAGCCATTAATGACTCTCCCCACCTCCCTCAACTTAAATACCCCATTAACCACCCAGTTGACTTAGTGAGTTCACATATCTCACCTGTCCATTTCCTTCCACCATGACACAAAAACTCTGGTCAGATTTCTCTCTTGGACTGGAGCAGCAGCCTCCAGACTCACATCCTTCCTCTGATCTTGTACCTCTCACATCCATTCATTCCAACTCAAACAACTCTTTCAAAAATGGAAGTTGGAGTCAGGTGTGGGGGCTCACGCCTGTAATCCCAGCACTTTGGGAGGCCAAGGCGAGTGAATCACCAGGTCGGGAGATCAAGACCATCCTGGCCAACATGGTGAAACCCTGTCTCTACTAAAAAGGCAAAAATTAGCTGGGTGTGGTGTGTGCCTGTAATCCCAGCTACTCAGTAGGCTGAGGCAGGAGAATTACATTAATCTGGGAGGTGTAGATTGCAGTGAGCCAAGATGGCGCCGCTGTACTCCAGCCTGGCCACAGAGTCAGACTCCGTCTTATAAAAAAAAAAAAATGAATAAAGGAAGTTGGCTTATCTTCCATTTCTACTTTAAATCAATAACAACTTGGGGTCATAAGGATTAAATCTAGTTTTCTCCCCAGGGCTCCATCTTTATGTCTGCCTCAAGGTTTACATACCAATATTCTAGTCATTTTCATTTTCTGATGACTTTCTCATCTGAACCTTTGCAAAGGCTTCGCCCTGTGCTATGAAAAGTCATCTTGTTCCACTACACTCTCCATCATGCTCACTAATCTAGTGAAATCATGTGGAAATTACATACACTCTCAGAGATGCCTTTTCTGATCCCTAGTTCAGGGGTGATAGATGGGGCAAGGACATAAAGCAAAGCACCAGGGAGGAAAGAGAGAGGTAAGAACAGTCCCAGAGAAAGAAACCAATACAAAGAGAAGTACCAAGAAAGAGAGTTCAGCAGCAAAAGACAGAGGTAGAAACAGAAGAAGCAAAGACATGTGTCAAGGAGAAAATGAGGTGCCATCATGGGGTGGGAGACCAGGTGGGCAAGGTTTCTGTCACATTACTGGATTGTACACGAGCTCCTTTTACCCTCACAAGGTCCTTTTTATTGAGAGAGTCTCACTCTGTTGCTAGGAGCCAGGCTGGAGTGCACTGGTGCAATCTTGGCTCACTGCAACCTCCGCCTACCAGGTTCAAGCAATTCTTTTGCCTCAGCCTCCCAAGTAGCTGGGACTACAGGCATGCGCCACTAATTTTTGTATTAGCATGCCCAGCTAATTTTTGTATTTTTAGTAGAGACAGGGTTTCACCATTTTGGCCAGGATGGTTTCGATCTCTTGACCTTCTGATCCGCCCACCTCGGCCTCCCAAAGTGCTGGGATTACAGGCATGAGCCACCGTGCCTGGCTCCGCACAAGGTCTTAAACGTTGGTATGCAAACAGCTGAACCTCTATTTCACAGACTGGGAAATAAAGCACAGAAATGCAAGCAGGATATTTTTGCAAAGGCAAAGTAGAAAAGGAAGAGTTGGATCAGTGTCCTGGGTGTGTCACTGGGCAATGCTTGTGCAAGGCCAGCTGGGGGTCAGAGCAGGGACACCAGGTCACCAGTCAGAATAGGGTCACAGGGTCAGAACGGAAAGAAGCCCAAGGAGATCTGCAGGTTCCTGGAGGAGAGAACCAGGGACCAATATAAGGCTTTAAGGGGAAAATGGTCCTACTGGGAGGGAAAGGAAATCATGGAAAGACAGCATAGAAATAGAGCCTGTACTTTGGAATAGGAGGGATCTAGAATAAGAGCTAAAGAAATAATACAAAAGGAATATAATATCACTGAAAAAGTGAGAAGTCATAGAAACAGGAGGCAGCAGGAGCCAGTTGGAGAGAAGACCAGACATCCAAGAGCTGCCAGGGAACTGTGTGGAGGCAGAACTGTGGGGAGGACACTGAGAATTAGAGAGAAGGAGAAAGAGGAGATGCAGCAAGATGGAGAAATGGCGGAAACAGATGGAGGTGGCTCTCAGAGTTTTCCCATCCTGGATGGCAGGAACATACTGAGCTCTGTTGTCTGTGAGTTTCTTATTTCTCTGCAGAGACCTTTGATCTAAACACTCCCAAAATCACTAATAAAGGAGAACCAGAGAAGAGGCTCAGTCTGCTACCAGGTGAAGGAGAAGGTAATTCTGATTTAAGTGTTTGGATATTTCAGAACATCTTTGTTTTCTAGTTGGTATGAATAAAATTCTCTTCTTCACATTTGCATACATACAGATGGAATTACGTCAATTTTCTGTTGAGCCTTTTTGAAAACTGTGAGAGAGACAAAGGATCATGGTGAGCTGAGCCCCTGAGTAGGAACCATATCCCTGCATGGGGAAGGTAGGGAGACAGAATAAGCCAGAGGTAGGCTGGGGGCACCAGATAAGAAGTGCCTCAGTGATGTTATTACACATTAAACCTAAATATCAGCAGGTTACGGCAACCGAGGCAGGGGAGAATGTTTTCAGCCTACTTCCAGAAGGATCTGGAGCACGGACATGTTTCGTGAATGACTGAAGGCTTGCAACTGAGAAAAGTCATGTGGGAAACCCTTAAGATGCAGCTGACAAGGGAAGGATCTGTGGTGCCATTGCCCCTGCATAAACAGAAAAACTTGTCCAACCTGGGAGAAGAGAACTTTGACAATGAGGAAAATATATAACACAATGGAGATTTTACCAGCACCCAGGAATGTAAGATAAAACCCAAAGGAATGGACAGAAAAGGAGAAAATAGAAGACACATAGAAAGAGGATAATCTCAAGGAGAAAAATGAAAGAAAATTATACAAATGGCAGCAAACAATAATAATAGCAACATGCAAAGGAAGCACACAGGGAACTATGCAGAGAAAGAGACAGATCAAAATAATTAAAGAACCCATGAAGAGTGAAAACCATTGTCTAAGGAAAGGAGCAGGACCAGGACCTGTGGAGCAGAAGTCAGAGTCACTAGATAGAAGCAGCTTCCAGCAAAGGGCACCTCTGTCAATAGTGAGTTCTCTGATCCAGGCCCCCCTAGGTAGAGAGTGGGATGGAAGCATTTTCCCCAGTCTCATCTGCTTAGGTAGTAGAATGATTCTCATGTACATGTCTGTTAGGCAGACCTACCTTCCAAACCCTTAATGTGCCTGAAGACATTTATCCCAGGAACCTGTCCATTGTAATGTCTGTCAGGAACTGAGCTCATCCTAAATGGAAACCAATACCTCCACTGAACCTAGAAACTCCCCCTTCTCCAGGGTTCACTCTCTCAGTAAAGGAATGAATGTCCTATTTGCTCTTGAAATAATCAGGCTCAATTTTTTCTGCTTTAGCACAATTGTTATTTGCAAGGTATCAGTCAGATCATTTTCTTATCCCCTTAGACATGGTGATTTTTGCTGCACAGGATTAGATGAGTTATCCTTTCTGTGGATTTCTGTGGCTTCCACCCATCATGGGACCCCAGCCCATATCATCTCTCTCATCTCTACTAATGGCATCAATTGTTTCAAGAGCTCCAATGATCTGATCTTTTTTTTCTGTGTGGGCTCTTGAGCCATGCTTCCCTATACTATGTGGTGTTGCCTTGGCCCTCTCTGCTCCTGATCCCTTCCTTATCTGGTTCATTTCTCTTATTCTAGGGATGCCTTTCCCGGTGCCCAGTATGAGAAAGAGGGTAAACAAGGAAATAAACGGCATGAGGAAAAGCAGTAAAGAGCAGAGTCAGGGGTGCCAGAGAAAAAGACGGGAGCAGAGAAGGGGACAGAAACACATGGAAACAAAGAGAAGCACCTGGAGCCACTGGCCGCAGGAAACCAGGGCAGAGACAGAGGAAATGTGCAGAGGAAAGGGGAAGGGGAGGAGGAGAGAGAATGAGGAGTCCAGGGAGGAAGTGAGATGGTAGATACTTCTCAGACTTAGAGACAGCACTGGAGTGTGTCCACCTATAGGCCACAGAGCACCCACCCACAGGGCAGACCAGGAGGGGAGCCTGGGTTGGGGACAGCCCCACTTAGGAGATACTTCAGTTTCCCACATCTTCACTAAGTTTTCTCTTCATAATTTCTTGAGGGGTTCTTTTCTTTCTGTGCAGAGGGCAGTGATGACTGTTTGGAAATGCGTGATGGAAAAGAGCCCCAGGAAGCCTCCAGCTCCCTAGCAAGACATGGGTCAGGTAAGGAAGGGGAGAATTTCTGGCTCTGGGCTGCAGAGTGTCAGGAGGTTGAATTCAGAGCTGGTGTTTCCTGATTGATTTTCCGCTGAGTATATTTCACAGTGAAGAATCCAATTAAGTCTCAGATTGTTCACATTTTCTATACACAGATTCTTTGGGAAATGCAGGGAGGAATCCTTTATACAAGAGTCCGTGTTTAATGGAATGGGTTTTATTGTTTGAAAACATGTGTTTAGATATAATGTGGTAATTGGATTATGTCAACACAAGGCAATATGTTCTCTCCTTCATATTCTCCTGCCTATTAATACTAAAGCATTAAAATATTTTACTGGATCAGGTCTCCTGATACCCTCACAAAACCCTAAGATTTTGTGAGGCAGGAAAACTGGGTAATCCTATTTTATAGGTGAAGAAATAAAGCTCAGAATATAGTCGGAGGAAAAGTGCTGTTTTACCTTTATTTTTCATCACTATCACTACTATTATTTGAATTTAAAATTCTAGTCTCACTCATTTCTTCTATGGGAATGAAAAAGCTTTTATTCCTCTGCTGGTAGATACTTTTAATCATTTTATTATAGACTTGATGAAGCCTTCAAAGAAATGGTATCCTGCCATTTAATTGACAGAATTCAGATGAACTCTTTGTGAGACTAAATGCTATTTTTGATCAATATTCTCCATTATGTCATTGGATCCTGCAGTGTGTTTTTTAGAGTACTCTGATAATTGTTTACCTTTACCCTTGGAAACCTCAAGACTTAGGCGGGAAAGTGCTGTTATTGTTGTTTTGAGGAGCCAGAAACACAGACGTGCATGAGACACAGGTGTCTGATAAGACCCAAGAAGAAGGAAATGCAGAGACCAGTGTCCTGGATGACTCCTTGCAGTTCTGTGAGGTTGGCAGGGGTTGGGGTGGAGTCCCATGGTCTGAGTCCACTCTGGAAACCCAAAGGCTTTTAGGAACCTGGGAGAGTCTACCCGGGTTTGATGGAGAGAGATTTTTTATTAACAAATAAAGAGAGATTGAGGAGAGGAGTGGAAAAATTATTGAGAGTTAGAAAATATGTGACTGTAATTTACTATACAAGGTAGGAAATATCCAGAAAAATAGAGCCAGAGAAAATAAACAGTGATGGAATTTGCAAAGTAGATGTAGCACATCACTGAAGGAGGAAGAGACAGATAGTCGGGGGGGAGAGATGTTTGGAAGAAAGAGTCCAGAGAGTCTAACAGAAGCCCAGTAGCCTTCACAGAGTAGCACTATGTAAAGGTATAAAGATATAAGTGCATATAGTCACATGCCTTCATAAGTATAAAGTGGGGCAAGGACACAAAGCACAGGACCAGGGATGCAAGAGGGACATGAGGGAGGCAGGAACAGTTCCAGAAAAAGAGCCAAGACAAAGAGAAGTACCAAGAGAGTCCCTTGGAAAGAGACAGAGGTAAAAACAGAAGAAGCAGAGAAATGTGTCGGGGGTGAAAATGAGCGTGCTGACATGGGGTGGGAGACCAGGTGGTCTAGGTTTCTGACAGTGTATGTCAGATTACCAGATTACACAAGAGCTTTTACCCTCACAAAACCTTAAACATCAGTAGGCAAACATGTAAACCTCTATTTTATAGACTGGGAAATACAGCACAGAAATGCAAGTAGGATATTTTCACAAAGGCAAAGTGGAAAAGGAAGAGTGGGCACCAGTGTCCTGGGTATGTCACTGGGTGATGCTTGTGTAAGGCCAGCTGGGGGTCAGTGCAGGGTCACAGGGTCAGAACAGAAGGAAGCCCAAGGAGTTCTGCAGGTTCCCGGAGCAGTGGAACAGGGACCAACATAAAACTTTAAGGAAAAAAAATTGCTAGTGGGAGGGAAGGGAAATAATCATGGCAAGATAGCACAGAGCCTGCCCTTTGGGATAGGAGGGATCTAGAATAAGAGCTAAAGAAATGAGAGAAAGGGGATACAGTGTCACTGAAAAAGAAAAAAAATATATAGAAACAGGAGGCAGTTGGAGAGAAGACCAGATAATCCAAGAGCTGCCCAGCTGGGAGGGAATTGTGTGGAGGCAGAACTGTGGGGAAGACACTGAGAATTAAAGAGGAGGAGAAAGAAGAGATGCAGCAAGATGGAGAAATGGCGGAACCAGACGTGAGTGGCTCTTAGTGTTTGTCCATCTTAGATGGCGTGAATGCACCGAGGTCTGTCCCCAAGTTACCCTCTGTGGTTTGTCAATTTCTTGTTTCTCTGCGGAGACATTTGATATAAACGCTCCCCAAATCACTAATGAAGGAGAACCAGAGAAAAGGCTCGGTCTACTACCAATTGAAGGAGAAGGTAATTCTGATTTAAGTGTTTAGATATTTCAGAACATCTTTGTTTTCTAGTTGGCATGGAAAAAAGGTTTCCCTTTCTCCCTTCCTACCCTTCTCTTCTTCACATTCCCATAAATACAGATGGAATTATGTCAATTTTCTGTTGTGCCTTTTTGAAAACTGTGAGAGAGACAAAGAATCAAGGTAAGCTGAGCCGCTGAATGGAAACCATATTCCTGCGTGGAGACGAAGAGAGACAGAATTTGCCAGGGGTAGGCTGGGCCGCCAGAGGAGGAGTGCCTGGGTGATGTTATTAAACACATGGTAAACCTAAACCTCAGCAGGTTATGGCAATTGAGGCAGGGAGGTTGTTTTCAGCCTCCTTCCAGAAGTATCAGGAGCACAGACATCAGTTTTATGAATGATTGAATATTTGCAACTGAGGAAAGTCATGTGAGAGACCACTGGAACCCAGCTGACAAGCAAAGGGTCTCTGGTTTTATAGCCCCTGTGTAAACAGAAGAACTTTTTTAACCTGGGCAATGAGATCTTTGAGAATGAGGACAATATATAAAGTCATGGACATTTTACAGGCATCTAAGAGGGTAAGGTAAAACCCAAAGAAACAGAGACAGAAAAAGAGAAAGTAAAAGAGGATGATCTCGATTGGAAATAAGATACGGAGAGAAAATTACACAAATAACAGTATCAGTGTGGGAAGGAAGCACAGAGGAAACTATGCAGAGCAAGAGAGAGATCAGAATAATTAACCCATAAAGAGTGTGAACTATTGTCAGAGGAAAGGCGCAGGGCCTGTGGAGCTGAAGTCAGTCACTAGACAGCAGCAGCTTCCAGCAGACGGCGCTTGTGTCAATAGTGAGTTTTCTGATTTAGGTCCGTCTCGGTAGAGAGTGGCACACAAGCATACTCAGAAGGTAAGAATGTTTCGCCTGCAATCTCATCTGCTCAGGTAGTGGAATGATTCTCAAGTCTTTAATACATGTCTGTTAGGCAGACCTGCCTTCCAAGCTCTTCCATCCATGCGCCTGAAGACATTTATCATGGGACCTTCTCCGCTGCAATGTCTTTCAGGAACTGAACACTTCACAGTGGAAACCAACACCTCTACTGAACCTAGAAACTTCTCCTTCTCCAGGGTTTGCTCTCTCAGTAAAGGGATGAATGTCCTGTTTGCACTTGTACTCATCAGACTCATTTTCTCTGCTTTAGCACAGTTGTTATTTGCAAGATATCAATCAGATCGTTTTCCTTTTCCCTTAGACGTGGTGATCTTTGTTGCACAGGCTTAGATGAGTTATCCTTTCTGTGGATTTCTCTGGCTTCCACCCATCATGGGACCCCAGCCCATATCATCTCTCTCATTTCTACTAATGACATCCATTGTTTCAAGAGCTCCAATGATCTGATCTTTATTTTCTGTGTGGGCTCTTGAGCCATGCTTCCCTATACTATGTGGTGTTGCCTTGGCCCTCTCTGCTCCTGATCCCTTCCTTATCTGGTTCATTTCCCTTTTTCCAAGGATGCCTTTCCTGGTGCCCAGTATGAGAAAGGGGGTAAACAAGGAAATAAATGGCATGAGGAAAAGCAGTAAAGAGCAGAGTTAGGGGTGCCAGAGAAAAAGACAGGAGTAGAGAAGGGGACAGAAACACATGGAAACAAAGAGAAGCACCTGGACTCACTAGCCGCAGGAAACCAGGGCAGAGACAGAGGAAATGTGCAGAGGAAAGGGGGAGGGGGTGGAGGAGAGAGAATGAGGAGTCCAGGGAGGAACTGAGCTGGTGGATGCTTCTCAGCCTTAGAGACAGTAACTGGAGTGTGTCCAGCTACAGGCCGGGTGAACCCAAAGGGCAGACAGGAGGGCCTGGGCTGGTGACAGCCCCACCTAGGAGATACTTCAGTTTCCCACATCTTCACTAAATTTTCTCTTCATGGTTTCTTGTTGGTTTTATACTGAGACCACTGAGAAATTTTATTCCTTTCTGCAGAGGGCAGCGATGACTGTTCGGAAATGTGTGACAGAGAAGAGCCTCAGGAAGCCTCTAGCTCCCTAGCAAGACGTGGGTCAGGTAAGGAAGGGGAGGATTTCTGGCCCTGGGCTGCAGAGTGTCAGGTTTGAATTTGAAGCTTGTGTTTCCTGAGTGATTTTCCTTTGCGTATACCTTGCAATGAAAGGATCCAATTAATCCTTAGATTTTTCACATTTTCTGTACACGGATCTTTTGGGAAATGCAGGGAGGAATCTTTATACACAAGTTTGTGTTTAGCAGAATGGGTTTTATTGTTTGAATATATGTGTTCAGGCATTCAAGTGGTAGTCAAAATATGCCACGGCCAGGCAATGTGTTCTCTCCTTTATATTCTCATGCCTTTTAATCCTACGTTATTAAAATATTTTACCAAATAAGATCTGATACCCTCACAAAACCTTAAGATGGGGGAAGGCAAACTGGGCAATCCTATTATATAGGTGAGGAAGTAAAGATCAGAAATTTGCTCGGAGGAAGCAATGCTCTTTTGCCTTTATTTTTTTATAGCTATCAATACTAATATTTGAATTCGTATAAAATTTCGATTCTTACTCCTTCTATGGAAATGAAAAAGGATATCTTTCCTCTGCTGCTAGATACTCTTTATCTTTTTTTTTTTCACAAACTTGACAAAACCTCTTCAGAGAAATGGTATTCTACCATCCAATTGGCAGAATTCAGATCAGCTATTTATGGAACTAAATGCTATTTTTGACCAGTACTATCCATTATGTCATTGGATCATGCAGTGTATTTTCAGAGTACTCTGATAAGTTTTATACTTTTACTCACAAAAACCTCAAAACTTAGATAGGGAAGAGGCTGTTATTGTGTTTTGAGGAGCCAGAAACACAGACATGCCTGTGACATGCGTGTTTGATAAGACCCAAGAAAAAAACAAGAGCAGAGACCGGTGTTCTGGATGACTCCTTCTGGGCTTCCAGTTCTGTGAGGCTGGCATGGGTTGGGGTGGGGGTCCTACAGCCTGGGTCCAGTGTAAAAGCCCAAAGGGATTTTAGGAATCCAGTAGACTCTACCAGGGTTCGATGGAAAGATACTTTATTTAACAAATAAAGAAAGATTAGGGAGAGGAAACATTATCAAGAGTTGGAAAATGCTTGAATGTAATCTACAATACGAGATAGGAGATATAAAAAAAAAAAAAATAGAGCCAGAAAAGAGAAACAGAGAGGCAATACGAAAAGTATGCGTAGCATATCACTGAAGGAGAAAGAGACAGATAGTAAGGGAGGGGAGATGTTAAGAAGAGAAAGTCCAGAAAGCTGAGGAGAACTACAGATATCTCCATAGGGTAAGAGTAAAAAAGTATCACTAGTAGAAGGGGCCACCAATTAGGCTGGGCACGGTGGCTCGCACCGGTAATCCCAGCACTTTGGCAGGTGGATCACTTGAGGTCAGGATTCGAGGCCAGGCTGGCCAACATGGCAAAACCCCATCTCTATTACAAATACAGAAATTAGCTGGGTGTGGTCGCGCACACCTGTAGTCCCAGCTACTCAGGAGGCTGAAACAAGAGAATTGCTTGAACCTGGGATGTGGAGGTTGCAATCAGCCAAGATCATGCCACTGCACTTCAGCCTGGTGACAGAGCAAGACTCCATCTCAGAAGAGGAAAAAAAAAAGAAGGCCTACTCCTTAATAGCAAACAAAAGGCTGAATTTATTGTTCAATTAAGGGACAGTTGTGCTTGTGGGCCACTGTTTCTCTGAACAGAGAATGTTTGTGGAAGTGTGGATCTCAGTGATTGGCAGCCTTCAGAAGTGAGATTTGTTAGTGGTTAGTTGACTTTTAGTGAAAGCAGGGTCACTGCAGTGTGGCTGTCACTGATTGGGTGAGTTTCAGAGGCATGGGGAAGTGAATAGTTTGCTGGCTTTCAGAGGCCACCTGTGTACTGGCCAGAAGCTATCATTGATTAATTGGGACGATTCTGGTTGTAATTGTCCATATGGCTAAACAATAATGAGTTTTCCTAGAAGTGTAGGAACTTTCCATTCTCAGTCTCCCCTGTAGGAAACCTCTCATCTAAAGTGGCAGGAGGCACCATCCAGCATTGTCCCCATCCAAGATGTATTTTCTGGAAGAGAACGCTGAATCCTAGGATTCCCCTTCATTGAGTAGGCATTATAGAGTTGCTACATTGATAGTTTTATCCTTGTGGAGGATGATATAAGAAAAAGTAATGATGTTTAATAATATGTTAATCGAATAACAGACAACTGTGGAATGTTTTTAATTAGCAATAGAATTGCAATACTATCATATTTAATTCCCATTTGCCCCAAGAATACTTGCCAGACACATTTGTGGCTGCAGCGTTTATGCCAAGTAACTTTGCATGAAGTAGCTTGCTTTTATTATGACTCTGGAAACAAAAGACCTTCTTCTAATTATAGCATTATGGTTTTAGTAGTGGTGTTTCCATTTACAAAACATAGTAATTCTTGGTCACTGAAAATACCAAATCCTGAAAAACATAGCTTTCCCACACGTGCTGTTAACATTATTCTTGAACAATTGTTGGCCGAAGATTCATTTGATGAGTTATATATTTTTAAATTAGATGATTTTGATATTAGTTCTGTTTAGAAATGACTCCAAGAATAGTTTATATATTTTATTTTCACAGTGAAAATCAATCATGTTTGCTTCAGCCTCAAAGAATGTGTCTATGTGACATTAAGTGAGTGCAGCAAGCTGTACTTTTTTTTTTTTTCTAAATGGGAATAGAGTTCAAGATGATCCAAGTACAGCATCTCCAGAAGCATGGACTAATGCAGTTACCTGAAGTTGCTTTGAGGCAACTAGGATGAGCTGTGGCTACTAGCAGTGGCCCTTGGATGTCTGTCATGTTTTGCAGTGATACCCCTAGAACATTGCCTGTTTACTTATTTATTTATTTTTATTTTTTCATAAGTTATTAGGGAACAGGTGGTATTTGGTTACATGGATAAGCTCTTTCGTGGTGATTTGTGAGATTTTGGTTCACCCATAATGTGAGCAGTATGACCTGCACCATATTTATAGTCTTCTATCCCTTGGTTTCCTCCCACTCTTCTCCCAAGTCCCCAGAGACCATAGCATCATTCTTATGCCTTTGTGTCCTCATAGCTTAGCTCCCACATATCAGTGAGACTATATGATGTTTGGTTTTCCATCCCCGAGTTACTTCACTTAGAATGATAGTCTCTAGGCCAGGTGCAGTGGCTGATGCCTGTAATCTCAGCACTTTTGGAGGCCGAGGTGGATCACCTGAGTTCAGGAGTTTGAGACCAGCCTGGCCAACATGGCGAAACCCCGCCTCTACTAAAAAAAAAAAATTAGCCAGGTGTGGTGGCACATGCCTGTAATCCCAGCTATTAGTGGGGGCTAAGGCAGGAGAATTGCTTGAACCTGGGAGGCAGAGGTTGCAGTGAGCCGAGATCATGCCCCCGCACTCCATCCTGGGTAACAGAGTGAGACTCCATCTCAAAAAAAAAAAGTCTCCACAAATGCTGTTTATTCCTTTTCAGGTCTGCATAGTATTATGTGTCATATGTATCTTTATCCAGTTTCTTTATCCACTCATTGATTGATGGGCATTTGGGTTGGTTCTACAATTTTGCAATTGTGAATTGTGCTGCTGTAAACATGCGTGTACAAGTATCTTTTTCGGATAACAACTTCTTTTCCTCTGGGTAGTACCCAGCAGTGGGATTGCTGGATCAAATGGTAGTTCTACTTTTAGTTCTTTAAGGAATCTCCACACTGTTTTCCATAGTGGCTGTACTAGTTTACACTCCCACCAGCAGTAGAAGTGTCCCTGTTCACTGCATCCATGCCAACATCTACTGTGTGGTTTTGATTTGCATTTCCCTGATCATTACTGATGTTGAGCATTTTTTCATATGTTCATTGGCCGTTTGTATATCTTCTTTTGAGAATTATCTATTCATGTCCTTAGCCCAGTTTTTGATGGGATTATTTGTGTTTTTCATACTGATTTGTTTGAGTTCATTGTAAATTCTGGATATTAGTCTTTCGTCAGACATATAGACTGTGAAGATTTTCTCCCACTCTGTGGGTTGTCTCTTTACTCTGCTGACTGTTCTTTTTGCCATCCAAAAGCTCTCAGGTTTAGTTAAGTCCCAGCTATTTATCTTTGTTTTTCTTGCATTTGCTTTTGGGTTCTTAGTCATGAAAACCTTGCCTAAGCCAATATATACAAGGATTTCTTTGATGTTATCTTCTATAATTTTTATAGTTTCAGGTCTTAGATTTAAGTCCTTGATTCATCTTGAGTTGATTTTCGTATAAGGTGAGAGATGAGGATCCAGTTTCATTCTCCTACATGTGGCTTGCCAATTATCCCAGCATCATTTGTTGAATAGGCTGTCCTTTACCCACTTTATGTTTTGTTTGCTTTGTCAAAGATCAGTTGGCTGTAAGTATTGGGTTTATTTCTGGGTTCTCTATTCTGTTCCATTGGTCTATGTGCCTATTTTTATACCAGTACCACACTGTTTTGGTGACTATGGCCTTATAGTATAGTTTGAAATCAGGTAGTGTGAAGCCTCTAGATTTGTTCTTTTTGCTTAGTCTTGCTTTGACTATGTGGGCTCTTTTTTGGTACATATGAATTTTAGAATTGTTTTTTCTAATTTTGTGAAGAAGATGGTGGTATTTTGATGGGGATTGCACTGAATTTGTGATTGCTTTTGGCAGTATGATTTTCACAATATTGATTGAATACATGAACATGGGATATATTTCCATTTTTTTCATGTCATCTGTGATTTCTTTCAGGAGTGTTTGGTGGTTTTCCTTATAGAGGTTTTCAACTCCTTCGTTAGGTGTATTCCTAAGTATTTTATCTTTTGCAACTATTGTAAAATGGATTGAGTTCTTGATTTGATTCTCTACTTGGTCACTGCTGGTGTGTAGAAGGGCTACTGATTTTTGTACATTAATCTTGTATCCAGAAACTTTGCTGAATTCTTTTATAAGTTCTAGGTGCTTTCTGGAGGAGTCATTAGGGTTTT